ATCTTACCGGTATCCGCGGTCTCCGAGGAGATTTTGAAAATCTGCATTATCAACTAAGGCTGTTTGGCCAACGTGGCTCAGTATCCAGGTATCTCATATCATCAATAAAACCCCTTCCTAGCCGTCCCCTTCTTCGTCCTATTCTCCCCCCAAATGCAACAAACACTCAAGCTCTCACACCACCCCTGCACCATCGTGCTCTCCAGTTCCTTCTCCACAGCAAACACCTCTGATCCATCCCCTTCCCTGCTTGGCCCCACACCCAGATGTACCGCATCCATGTCCTGCTTCTTTAGATCCGCATTCCAGGCCTTGATTTGCTTCTGCGTAGCTTTCTTGTACACGCGGATGGGTGTGTGGGCGTTGAGATACGCGGTAAAGTCTTCGATGACGATGGGGTCGTACATGAGGATCCTTTCGTGCCAGGTAGGCTTGCTGGGGTCGGTGGTTGGAGGCAAAGACCGGATGTGACTTGTTATCTGAGCAAAGACCTGGGCTTTGATGTTCGGCCATTCGAGCAGCGGGGTAGGTATGCGGTGGATGGGTACTAGACTTGGATCGGCAGTTGAGGCTTTCGCTTTCGCCGATTTGCTGGGTGAGGTTGTGGGAGAGAGCGTGATCAAAGACAGAGGTTGCGAGTTGACGTTTTTAGTTGTTCGGGGCGGCGTGGGCGAGAGGAGCTGCAGGGCTTCGTCTTCGGAGTCGAGGATCTCGTCTATGTCGATGAAGCGGCCTGAGCCTGTGGGAGGGGTCGATGGCATCTTAGTTCTGGTCTTTGATTTCGCGCGGGGCTTCAGGATTGGCGTCGATGACGCGGAAACTGATGTGGGTATTGCAGAATGCGATTTCGTCGGCCTTCCGCGCTTCTTGGGAGAACCGTCCATGGGCGTTGGTGCTGAAGCTGGAGGTTTGAAGATCGAGACTGGCGATTTCCGCATCTGCGCAGAGGGCGGAAAGTCAAAGTCATCGATGTCGACAAAGCTGTCTGGTGAGACAGGTTTCTGACCGGAAGGTGGAGGCTCTTGCATGAAGTCGTCAATGTCCCTGAAGCCCATATCTTTCATTTGATCACCATCGTTGCGAAACTTCGCCATTGGGGTGGTGCGTGAAGTGCTGGGAGGTGGCATTGGTGGATCAGAAGATATGGTAATTGGTGGCGGCGGGTCCGGGGGTATATCGTCAATATCTATGAAGTCAGATTGATCATCGTCTTGCTCATCAGGCGCATCAGTAGTGCCATCCATGAGCAATGGGATGTCTTGCGTTCGGTCTGGCTCGGGTATGTAAACGTCCTTCAAGTGCTCCAGCATACCGCCCTCGTCGTCGCGAGAACTCGCAGCCCAAAGTCCACGCTTGCCTTCCACCCTGCCGAGACGTGACCATCGCGGCGGCGCGCCATACGCAACATTGTCGGCGTCTTGCTCAGACTCCTTCAACGCATACTGTAGTTGACGCACCATTGTCGGCGACTCCTCAAGCACGAGCTGACTTGATGTTCCGAACAAGACGTCCTGCTGCTGCAAACGCGACATTGCCGACGAAGGGCTGAGCAGCTTCTCCGCGACAGGCTTGGGCTTGGCGGCTGCTTTCGAAGATGCTTTCTTCGACCTCGGCTTGGGATCTGCTTTCTCTGTGCCTGACTTTGAGCTGTTACGCCTGCGCACTGGCTTCTTCGGTGCTGCATCGCCGTCTGCTGCCGATGCATCGTTCAGCGGCACCTTTATTGTAGTTGTCGAAGCTCGGGACTCGAAGAAGCTGCTAGTCGCATCGTCTGGAACAGGTTGTGCATCCTTCAAGGCATACTGCTCTGTAACGAGGTCGGTGATGGTGCGCGGTTTCTTTTTCGGTGCTTTCCCTTTCTCGGGAGACGAGTCTCTGGAGTTGGTATTATTGCTGGGTATCTCGACAAGCTCGATTCTACGCCGCTTTGTCGCCGCCACGGCACCTGATACATTGTTGGATTTCGCAGCGATCTGCGCAGATGGCGATTGTGCGTATGCGAAGTTGGAGAGGAGGTTCGTGAAGGAGCCATCAGCGTTCTGCGATAATGTCTTGTTCTCCTTTCCGGTCGAGTCGGTGAACGGCGATGCGATTGTGGTATCGGGTGGTGGCGTCCAATCTCTCCTCCTTACAACAGCCTCCTCCAACTCCAATCCCTCTGCAAGGGGATCTGGCTGTCGCTGCTTAGGTGCAGCCTTCTTCTTCGGCTTTGGGCTGTCTGGCACTTCCCAGATCGACTGAGGCTTGGCTTGAGTGTCGTGGTCCTCTACAGAAGGCCGTGTTGCCGACTCCTGGCCTCCGTCTGCTCCGCCTCCGAAATGCGCAGACACAACCGATGCATCCCCCTGCTTGCCCTTACCCGCTCCTGCTTTCGCCTTTGTGACCCTCGGTTTCTTTGGCTTTGGCGCAGGCTCTGTCCCATCTTCCGCAGTCTTGACCTTCTTCGCGCGAGGTTTGCGGGGCTTGCCAGACTTGGTCAGCTTCGGCGCATCCGCAGCTGGTGCCGCAGGGTCGACCGGAGGTTCTGTCGCATCGTCGTCGAAGAAAGGGGACTTTGTAGGTCGTTGAGGCGGGCGGCGGAGTTCGTCGTCAGAGTCAAGGATCTCTTTGTCTGACTTGGGTTTCGCTTTGCGCGCTCGAGGCTTCGGCTTCGGCTTCTCGGAGCCGTCTGCAGCGGTAGTAGTAGCTGTAGCCTTCTTCGTAGTCCGCTTCTTGGGTTTCTCCGCAGCCAAAGGAGGCTCTATGGTATCCTGTGAGGTCCGCCGTGGCTGCGCTTGTTGTATTGCATCGAAGTCGTCGTCGAGGCGGCTTGTGAAGTGCTCGGAGCGTATGAGGCTGCCCACGGTGGCGAATCCTCTGACAGCTCCCTCGGGGATAGGAGCAGCTCGTGTATTGCTCTTGGACGCGCCGGATGTCGGCCTGAGGGGGCTCGCAGGAGGGGAAAATGCGAGAGGGGAGGACGCAAGCATGGCGACGCGACGGGAGGGGGCATCATGTAGCGGGGAAGCGGCCGGCGGACTCGAGGATAGCACCACGACGTCGTACATGGTATTGCCTGCCATCTTGAGGCGAGGAAGGGGCCTCGAGGCAGCCAGTACGGGCAGACGGAGAGGGCCAATCCATAGACTCGGTCTGAGTAGCTGGGGAGGGTGTGGTGTAGAGTGGCGCTGGTTGGTGAAGCCGAACAATGCACGGTCTTTGGGTCAACTGAAGTTCATTGCTGCGACACCAAAGTCTCCATCACCAAATTCCCAGCCATGCCCCTCCACCACCGTAGCTCCCACATCAACCCCCTGCGATCGAGCTGCATCTCGTTGAGAAACTCTACAAGTACTCGCAGATCATCATCATCGACTTGAATGACTGCCCCCGGCCGCATACAGCGCGGAAACCGCCTCCGCGGAAGTCTTCCAAAACCCATCGTAGCCTCCTGCCCTCCCCCAGCCTCGACAGCAACATGGAGCAGACTCAAAGCTTCAGAGCACCCCATTCATCCCGCTCAGTACGTCTGCGCGCTTGTCGCAGCTTCTGGCGTTGCGAGTGAGGTTCAGGACAGCCGGGAGCCGTCGCTGCGAACCTCACCCGCCGAACGAAGGTCTTTGGCATCCTTCTGCGAGCCTCACACAGCGAGAGGAGCTTCAGAAAGACCGCAGTAAGTGCCTCTCGTCTTTGCCGTCGACATCCTTGACCTTCGCTGCCCCTCCCTGAACCTGCCTCCTCAGCAGCTACCCCGCCTCGAAGCCACACACATCACCCAGCAAGGGCAAGAGAACGCGCAGGGACATTGCTGATGCTTTGGCTTACAGACAACAAGCTGCTGCTGTAGCCTCGCATCGGCAGCGACATCCTCTGTGGGTTGACTTCAAAGCTGCCTCCGACACACCTCCGCCCTCACCTCCGCCGACAACCCTCAGCGACAAGCATTGCTGAAGCACTGCGCAAGAGACGAAGCACAAGCCCGCATGGCTGGCCCAAGGCTGGCAATTACCATAACGATAGTCCATCTCGCTGTCGATTTCCTGGCGGCATGATGCTGAGCCATTCTCACCTGGGAGGCAGTAGCTTGGCCATGCCGACACCCTCGCGGAGTGCCTGGTGAGAGCAGTCAAGCTTGACATTCGAAGCCGACTATCGATGCCTTACCTTGCATCTTCGGATCGGTACTCATGGCGGCCACCCTTGACGCTCTCGTGACCCTCGCATACCGAAGACGAAAAGACTCGACGCTGTCACTCACTCGAAAGTAAGGCGACTCGGATCGGAGGAAGGGTCTCGGCCTACAACATACTGTGCGGGGCGCTTGGGCAAGCGCGAGGAACCCATGGAGGGGATACATACCAGCAAGAGACGGAGACTATGGGCATGCCACCGGAGCACCCAAAGGTTCATTGCTCATCGGCGCAGGCGCGGGTCAAGCCCGCAGCGCTGGCTCCATCTCGCTGTCGATGGAGCATGTGGTGTGTCATACTCAGCCTCCATGGCTAGTGTGCCGAGCAGGCTTGACCAGGCCGCATGGTATGGCGGTTGACGTACAGTCTACCGGAGCAATGACCGACAAGGCTATACAGTATTGTATCGTGCCTTCGCCAGCGAAATACTAACTGCAGAGTATCGCCAGCGAGACATCCGACAGCGAGATACCGGCGCGGAGCCACCGACAGTGAGACCTGGACAGCGACAAATCGACTACGGAATCGTTAGCCTTGCAAAAGAACATATCAGAGCTCTCGACTTACCATCTGGAATCTGCCATGGAAACCGAACCTTCACGTACGCGATGCTCATCAGCTTCGAAGCTGCAAGAAACAGCTAAGCGTTAGCATCACCAGCACCGTCGACGTCGGCTGCTGCCGTCGCAGCCCGAATCGACATCACGCAAGGAAGAAGAACCAGACGACTCTTTTAAACTTCATTAAATCCTGAAGACGTCAGCATTGTTTCACTCTGGGATGGTATAGGCTGGAGACTCACTATCTATTCATTCCGCATTGCGAATCCAACTATCGAACGATTCCAAATGGTAGAAGTCGGAGATGAACCCAATGCGCTTCATGCGAGATTGAGCCAAAGCAGCTGTTCTCTGCGCAGATCTCGAAGGCAACGCCCTTGTCGACGGTAGCACGACCAACGCATGTCTTCATGAGGAGTCCATCGGGGAGTACGTTGGGGTCGGCAAGTGTTGCTGGGATGAGATGGCAGAGATAGTTCAGCAGCTTGACTGCGACGTATACCCAATTCTTGTCTTCCATAGCGCTCGCGTAGATGATGTCGACCGTGTACTTCAGCTTGGCTGGGTCCGCGTCGATATTGGCGGTCACCTCGCCGTCTCAAGACCGTCGCACCACGAGAGTCCTTCTCGGCGCCCTCGTAGCGTCGAATATCCAACTTGTTGTTGCAGTCCTCGCGGTTTTTGGCGTTGAAGGCAGGGCGGCTGACGCGCCTGCCTCCGACGCAGCGCTCCCACACTTCAAGGTCGCTGGCTTCTTTGAAGCGGGCCTCGACCGCGATGATCGCGGCATTCACAAAGAGGTTCGGCAGCGGTGAAGAGCTCGATTGAGGACGAGCGAACGCAGTCCTCGTATATGCTGGCGATCCAATCAGATTGCGGAGATTGTCTCGAGTGGCGCGACGACTGTTGCCGATGAGTTCAAGACTCTGGAAGTACTTAGGCAGGAGCACTGCCTCCGACGCAGTGCTCCCAAACTTCAAGGTCGCTGGCTTGTTTGTCGCTGGCTTGTTTGAAGCGCCCGTCTATGAAGTCTTTATCGGGTTGGTTTGGTGCGCCACATCAGGTCTTTGCTTTCACATGACCCAGCCGTTCTTCCTCAGTGCGATCAGTCCTGTGACCTTGATCTTGGACATGAGATCCTGGTCCGTCATCACTGTACGCTCCCGCACCTTCTCCAACACCTGTGTGAGCTCCGCTTCAGTAGACGGGTTCGAGAAGAAGTGTTCAAGATTCAAAGTAGTGTCGCCAACGTGGCATCGACATTCGGTGGGAACAATGCCCTCAGTCAAGACAGATGACGATGATATGGTTGGCGAGGTCGTCGTCGATGGCGGGGATGTTCTTGACGCGCCTGCCTCCGACGCAGTGCTTCCAGACTTCCAGATCGCCATATCTTCGTCCATTTGTTGAAGTTGGCTAGAACGATCGTGATGCCGTGAACAACGAGACCCCAACTGCAAAGTAGGCAGCTCCAGAAGTAAAGGCTGCGACGTGTGGCTCTGTACAGCAGGCGGATGTTTAACTCGATGCAGATGAACCACGCGATTCCTAGAAATGCTGCTGCGGCCATGGACGATGGTCGGTCGGCAAGTTCGGATGCCTTGGGGTCACTGGACGACTTCACCCATGCTGTTGCAGGGCGGCCCATAGCTGGTGTTGCACCGGGACTTTGGCGACTTGTGCCCATGGATGGCAATGCGCCGGGACTTCGACGACTTATGCGCGCGCAGCAGTGCATCCGGGGACATCCATGTACGGGAGTTGCGGTAACTACCCGCACCACCTCCGTCATTGGCGTCATGGGCGCCTCGGACTCATCGCTGCTGGTAGTCCACAGCGTGGATTCGCCCGAAGACTTGGGTGATGTCTGCTCGGGCTGCGACTGTGCCCGAGAGGGCTGTCAAGCGAATGATTATCGAAGAGCGGTCGGGATCCAAAGGGTCGACGAATGTCGGCAGAAGATCCATCGTCGACACCGACTCCTTGACCTTCTTGGGCGCAATGTTGGGTCCGTTGATGATCATGGGAACACGCGCGCTGTTCTCATACCAGCTCAGAAACAGGAGCAGCTGCTTGTACGTCTCTCCTCTCTTCTTTCCATCGATCAGTAGCTGATCGTTGTGCTCTCCGCTGGAGTTACCAACGAAGAGATGGGCATATGATGATCAAGACAGGGGTGTGAGTATAAGTTTCAGCGCTGGGCTTGGGCACCAGCCCTACTCCTGGATACGGCTCTGGAGACCGCCATCCAGGCATGCATGTTGACCGTGATGTTTTGGTCAAAATCGGTTTGCACTGATAGTCTCCCACTCTTGCTCCTACTCCTGCCATATTGGGATATGGAAGTCGATTGCGACCCTTGGGTTTGACCGGCTCGGTCATCGTGTTATTGCAGACGTAGGCAGTTTCGAACGCTGCTCGACCCGTCTATGACCGCTTTCAGTCTCGCTGAAGAATCGAAATGGTCGCCGATGATTAAAGTGCGTAAAGTCCAAGTGGCTCCGTGGAAGAAGATGCCCATCGATGGTGTTGCGCCGGGACTTCGGCGACTTGGTTGTGGGTGATACCCTTCACGGTGCCGGGTGAGATTGGCAGCGGCCACGTCTGGGAGAACTACATCATCCTGCCTTCTCAGCAATCTCGTGGCCGCAGCCCTATTTGTGTACGACCTTGGTGCACATGTTGGCGGGGGTCGGCGAATGGCTTTTTCGCAGCGCATTCGAACGCTGGCCTATGGACGAGGTGCGCTAGGACTTCAGCGACTTACAGCGCATGGCTGAGAGCACATAACGCTGGCCTATGGACGAGGTGCGCTAGGACTTCAGCGACTTACAGCGAATGGACTTTTCGCAGCGCATTCGAACGCTGGCCTATGGACGAGGTGCGCTAGGACTTCAGCGACTTACAGCGCATGGCTCGGGGCACATAACGCTGGCCTATGGACGAGGTGCGCCAGGACTTCGGCGACGTACCGTGTCGATGTCCGATGTGCGCGCCCGCGGCGAGTAGCGGCACCGTCAGGGCGACATCCTAGATGGGCACCGGCGGCGAACAGCGGCAGCACCTATTCGATGACTTCTAAAACGATTAGCATAACCCAAAGACCTTGAAGATTGGTTGGACTTACTGAGCATGAACGCCGCCGGGCGCCATCATTTCGCTGTGTCGAACGCCGAATACCGCGACTGGCGGCAGTGGAGATATGACGATCGGATTATTGTCGTCTTGAAAACTCCTTGCGCCCCCAGTGATAGCTGGCGACTATCACCAGAAGCGACTTCCTCCATGTCGACGGACAAGACCTGGTTGATAACGGAAGCTATTGGCCCGCTTGCTAGCAACGCTAGCAAGGCTTGTATGTTCACTGTTGTGCCTGAGCACTCATACGTTAGCACGGCGTTGCACAAGCAGGTCTACTATGGACGGCATCGGGACTTCGACTTACCAGCTAAGGAAAACGTTTTGCAAGACGTGCCGGGCTGAACACCTGGCCTGTGCGAATATTTTGTAAGGACGAGAAGTGAGTGTAGTAGTCGGCGTTCGTCCGTACAGGCTCAGGTGTTCAGCCAGTGGCGACAATCCTGGAATGAAGTCTTGACTAGCGATGTTGTCAGCAATGATCAGGCATAGCCATCCGCAGCTGGTATAGCGGTGGCAGAGGAGGGGCTGAGGAGCTGCATCGGTCGACACCAGGCCGGCGAAGGCGGCGGCGTCAACAGCGAGCAATCAGGAGCGGAGTCAGTACATACCGCGATGCCTTGGGTGCGTCGAGCACCGGAGGAGGTCGCCTCCCCGTCGCCGAAGCGGGAAAGAAAGCGATGTCCGACCCAGAGTCGTCGTCCTACCCCGCGGCAAGCTCGAAAGCATCGCCGATGTGGTGTCAGGAGTTGTGCGAGGATGGCACGAGGGGCTCAAGAGGATGAAGAAGGGGAAGCACAGCAAGAATTGCGGCATTGGGGAGTGTGATGAAGTCGGTGGTGGGGAGGTGGAAGACGGTCAACAAGTCTCACCTTGAGGCGAACTTACCCGCTACCTGCGCACGGACCACAACAAATGAGAGACGGCCTCGCAGAAGGAGCGCGATAGCAAGGAGAAGGAGGCGCCGTCGACGGTGACCGTCGTTAGGGGCTTCTGCTCCAGCAGATTGTCGAGATTGGCCTCAGACGGTCGCACAAGGCGATGCAGTGCTGAGTTTGCCATGGAAAACATTCTGAGGATGTCCGGATGGCGACAGCAAGGTCTCGAGACCCAGCCTTGTCTGCTCTGCAAGTACGTGCAGCTGCTGCAGTGTAGCTGGACGAGACGGCGGCTGCAATCCAGTCCAAGCTGTGTGCGTAGAGAAAGTGATATGGCGGCGAGCAAGCCACTGCACTGCACCCGCGCTCCTGATGTTCCAGCGCCAACTCCGCGATTGCTCTAAGTCCGTTAAAGCACCTTGAGCCCGACGAGATGGCGGAGCAACCGCAACATTTGTACTTGCTGAAAAGTGGGATTTCCAGCCCCTTTCGCAGACTTGCACATGACTGAAGTCGAGCATGCCTTCAAAGACGTTCCGCTATTGCTGGACTGTCGCCAAAGAGCCTCATCATCGAGCACCTGAAGATTGCAACCCATAAGCAAGAACGACAGAACCACGACAGCGAGACATGTTTGGCAAAGTAGGCGTAATCACTGGGCATGGTCACTGGCTTGTTCATGATGTCGTTTTGCACTTCCAAGATTCAGCTATCTGGCCAAGCCTATCATGCTATCTGGAGAGTCTGCGAGGTCGGGAGACATGCATATGATTTGATGTGAAGTTTATCCGGCATCATCCTGATGCTACGGTTTTCCCCAGCTCGAGACACGGTATATGGGATGTCTGAGCTCACAGCCATTTTGATCGATCGACTGAACAAGTGTTAATATTCATGCTAACTACAGCTTTGACTAACACTCCAGCTCATGCTCTTCCAAGCTTGACGATATGTCGCAAGTCGCTGTCCATGCGACCGCACGACCCCCTATGATTACCAGGCCTATGTCCGTGATGCTTCACCCTTATCCTTCTCAGCCCCTTACCCTGCTTCTCAGCATGTCAAAGTATGACGCCCTCGGTTCTTCGACTGCCTTCTCCTCCGATTCTGTTGTATTCATCAATCCCTCACATCCTCGCGGTATCTCCTTGTGCCTTCGACTGAGCTCGGTCTCCCAGCGTCCTGCTTGTTCCCTCTTTCCCCCTATCCACCGCGTTCATACCATCCAGCACATCCAGCACATCCAGTTCTTCTGCCCTTTGCGAGGCCGGTCGCCAATGGCGCCGTGTATTCCACTTTTGCTTTGCTCTCCTAGCACACCCCTACCCACCATCCCCAAGTCTCCCATCCTCTCTCTTGTCCAAACCCTTCCATCGCAGCCCACCAGCTTTCCATGCTTTTCTGCTCTCCACTCTACACATCATCACCCCTCATAGTTATGTCCTGGCCCCACACTCCCCCAGCCGATCCCGAAAAGTGTTCAGACACTCGCCTTACCTCCCTTTACAAGCTTCAGCATCAGAAGTCTTGTTGCCGCATAGCCGCACCTTCCTACTCCTCGCTGAGGCCCTGGAATTGCTCGTGTGTTATGGGGCGGGGTTGTTTGGAGTTGCTGTGTCCGCGCCGTGTAGGTTTTGACTTTGCGGAGTTGGGGTGGCGGGTCGAGGGGCGGCGGCGTGTGGTTTGGTAGGCAGGAGGGAATGGGAGGTAGGAGGGACGTGGTGCTCGCGGTGAGGACGTGGATATTGGTGGGATAGCTTTGTTTTGACGTGAGCTGCGGCTCCTCGTGAGTTCCTGGCTGTGTCAGTTGTGCTCTTTCGCAGACCCCCTCCCTTCTTCCCCTCCAACGGTCTTTGCCCAGCTATGCCGCTTACCTTCTTTGTCGTCATTGTCATCCTTCTCGACACATGCCATCCTGCTCGCTCATACCCCTTTCTCCCCTATAGCCCCTATCACCAACCTCTACCCTTCTCCTCCATTCTTGTTTCCTATCCGCGCCGACGTCTGCCTTTCGTCCGCTTCATCATTCCTCGACTTGAAGGTTCTCCCTGTGATGCGAACCCGCTTGTAGGCATGATCCCTATGTTTGTCGAACACCGTGCGTAGCCCCTTGGGATTGCGCTCCTCGTCCCAATGCCGTCAAGGCCGTATAGATTGTATCTCGCTTGACCGCGGTGCCACCCTCGCAGCTCTAGTAGGTTCGCATCGATCGTTCGGGTTCGTAAGGGGCGCGCTCGTGAGGCAGTAGTCGGACGTCTCGTCGATGTGTAATGCTGGCCTGAGGGCTCGGACAGCGAAATGCAGGCGGCGCGACGGCCTACGGTCTCGCGCATCCGCAGTGACCATCTGGCTAGGTACTTGATGTCAGTGAAAGTCTGCACAAGGTCGTGCAGCCTTGTTCCTTGCCAACCTGTGCTTGATTGCCTGGAGCCACAGAAGACAGCCAGCGTGCCATTTACCACGGTACTGCGACGTGACCAGGTTACCTCGTGTATGGTTCCTCTGGTGTTCGGAAGCCCATACCAAGCCTCATCGATCGACCGGATGTCGTAAGGCCTTCGTGAGACCCTGGCTGTCCAAAGGTGGGTTTGCGCGACGGCGCACAACTATACCGCCTCTGATTCGATTACACTTCTGAAAAGCGTAATCGAATCGTAATCGACCTGGGTATACAATGGCTATACGACTGGTCAGATTGTGAAGTTGTGGTTGGCGTCATGTCCTGCCCTTGGCCCAAAGATATGCGACGGCGTGTAGCTCCACCATCACGACCCCAAATTTCTTTTGGAGAAACGCAAACTGTCCCCCAAGGAGCCTTCCATACGACGGGTACGCGATTGGTTATATCGTAATGTGGTGGTGGTTGCCATGCCCCGCTATGTCCGTTGCCGCATACGCGACGTGAAATTCCAGGCGCAACGTTCCTCTGCAATGACGCTGCGACTCGCATGACGTTTCCGAATGTCGGAATCTTCAATCCGAGTCTGTTCAGTGCTGATTGAAAGGTATGGTAGCTCGTGGCGGGCGCCAGGTGTGTCGACGGCTTTTCGTCGGCGGGGAAAACGCATCGTCGGGAAGCGCGATGGCGACGGCGTTGCGTAGAATTGCACACCAAGTACGATGGGAAGCGAACAAAGTCTTGTGATTCGATGCGAGGCGCAACGCACAGGTCGACATGGAACGTAGTTTGTGTAGAAGGGCGGCGTTGAGCATCCTAGCGTGGATGTAGCGACTCACCCAACTCCAGCTGGCCTGTGTCCTCACTAAGCAGAACACCAAAACCTTACTAATTGTACGTGCAACCAACCTCGCTGA